AAACCTGCCGGACTACTTTCGGCTTGACCAAAACTGGACGATAACTCTGCTCACAGGATGCTTCCATGGGTAAGTCAGTGTGATTGCATGCCACTGGTGATGGGGATGCCATACAGATTCATGTCAAAAATACTGAACTATCCCTTTAAACACTTTTTAAAAGAAATTAATATATACACCAAATTTGGATATGTTTGGTTGGTTCAACTTAATAAAATCAAATTCTGTTTACCTATATTTGTCCTTGCTTTGAAGTAAATTTTGTTCTACTAACTCATAACATTTAAAAAATAATTTTAATCAACTCAATTGTATTTACTTTGAGAGTGGAAACAGTTTTTCTGAATAAGCAAGCATCCATGTCACATGTTCAATATAACGTTGACAATTATAGAGCAGCATGATCATGGAACTTAACCGCAAGATAACTTATGGTTTCATCTATGTGGACTTGGAGCAACGTCTAACTCCACTATCTCTTTTAGATGTAGAAGTAGCTGCAATGCAAACTCATGCTCTGGAAAAAGTGGTCTGACAATTAGGCCTAAATTAACTCATTTAAGGACCAATTTTCAAGATCATTGCAAAGTAACCTCAAATTCTTAAGCTCACAAGGCGGCCTCAAGAATTTTAGGTTACATTGCATCATTCATAAAATATTCATACATATTGTGCTACATCAATTAAATATTACTAAATGATTCTGGAAACAACAACCTTGGTATGTCGAATGGTAAGAAATTGTTTCACCTCAAAGAGGAGCTTGAATCATGTTTTTATTTTTAGTGTAGGCATACAAAAAAGCTTTTCTGTATGTGTTTTACATGGTGGGAACAGTACATAACAATGCTTCTGGTCTAACACCAACAGAATTCAGCAATCACTCTATAATCAGTTAAGTTTGTGACTCTAATGTTAGAAATGCAACAAGAGAAACCATAATTACAGTATTAGTAAGAGTTTTATTTTTTTACATTCATTGTGGGCCTTTTGACATTTTTCTGAGATATCTTACTGTTTAAAGTGCTGTGGTCTCAGTAGCCATTTCTAGTACTTTCTCCTTACTGCGCTCTGCTCCTAAAATGTATCACATGATTATTACAGTAATTCCCATAATGAGACTGCTCCATCTTCCAGAACAACCCGGGAGATCTTTGCGTAAACATGGCATGCATCCACTGCGAGCTGAGCCACATCCAGGGCAGACTGCAGCCTGCAGACTGAGCAGGGCTGAAACGTGATGGAGTAATCACCGGAGCGGCACAAAATAGGGGATAATGTCTGGTGGGTGGGGAGAGAAGAGGAGAGAGAGGGCGCTGTGTGGAGGAGCTGAGGCACTGGCCTAGATGTGTGAAACGCCATGGGTTGCCTTTTTTGGTTCACTGGTTGACTTCTAGAGGCAACTCTTGATGCAGTTTTAAGCCATAAAACAAAGAAAAGTTGTGCAGACATGATATCTATCATTTTAAAGGAGAGCATCAATAACCACAGTGTACACAGATGAACATGGAACATGTGAATGAAACACTAACACGAAAAGTGAGTCTGTCATATCGCTGGACAGGCATCCACACAAGTTTGTGTGATAAAGATGTCCTTGGAGTCAGACAGTGACAAAAGTTCATCGGGAGGCGCTGATGAAAAACCTCCGCGGGCAGCGCAGGAGCGCAGATGCTGCATGGAGACATGCGCCACTCCGCTGCTCTGGGACAAACGGAGAGAGACGTGGCTCAGACTCTCCGCGACATGGACTTGCAGAAGAGTGTCCTCTGCTGTCTGCGTCGCCTCCGTCTCTGCTCTCGTCGCTCTGCTGCTCAGATTGGTGGAGTGGGATGCAGGCAGGAGCAGCGGAAATAGTAGCTGCGTCGGCTCTCGTTTCCACTCAGCGGCGGGCTGCGCTGCGGAGCTGCTTTTCGCTGCGTGTCGCTGCGTCTCGCCCGTTTTTACGCTCGTATGTGCCTTCTTCTGGCTCTGGCTCTGCTTCATTCGCTGCGGGCTGCCGATCCGGAGCGCGCTGATCCTGTTAGCGCTGTGCCACCTGGGCGAAGCCGCGGCGCAGTCGCTGCTGCGCGGCGCGGAGGAGCTGTCATCCCTCACCGCAACCCTGGTAGTCCTCGGCTGCCTGGGCGGCGGGGCTCTGCTGGTCGTCCGGCCGGGACAGGGAGTGTCCATCCTCGTCTTTATTAGCGTCATCAGGGCCGTGTCTCCTCTGTGTCTGAGCAGTTGGAGACCCTACCTGGCCTACCTACTGGGGCTGTTGGGGGTTTTGCTTGCGAGTTATGCTGACCGGCTTCTGCCGGCCTCAGGGACCAGCGGGACGGGGTGCTGTGGCTCTGTGACCGGGCCGAAGGAGGAGGACATCCCTGTCTTCAAAAGGAGACGGAGGTCCAGCTCCATAGCGGCCTCGGAGATGATGGCTCATAGTCAGAGCAACAGCAAGTCCCACCGCAGGACTTCGCTGCCCTGCATTCCGCGGGACCAGGTAAGGAGCCGTGTCCAACTTTGGACATCTGCTTATGATCTGTTATCTCCTCTGAGCCCGCCGGGCTTTCTTCTCTCTCTGATGGCATGTGTGGCAGCTTTACATGCTTTCTCTCAGTAGCTTCATCGGGACAAGTGGAATAACAGATTGCAAAACAAAGCAATGTCATTATGGTGCTGATGATGGCTGTTCTCTCTGCAGGCCGTCATGTAGGCCTATTGGTTTTCAGAATGACTACATGAGGAAAAAACAAAAAAGAAGGAACCAATTAAATCTTAGATAATATTTACAAATAGGTTGAATTTACAATAACATATATAACTTAAATGGAAATGTCTAAACATTAACAGCAGACTTTATTGCATGGGTGTATCTCAAAGTAGAATGAATAAAAAAGTTATTTTATTCATTAAGTTATTTCCAAACATTGATATAATATCATAATTTCCAACATTTAATTGTTATTTTGCAACTATTACAGCATACATATTTTCGAAATTCCACAATCAGTTACCTATACACTAGAATACAAGATAAGTAACAATATGCCTAAAACAAAAATATCTTACTGAAAAGTATGATTTTGTTCTCTATAGTTTATGCATTACTTGCTTAAAGAATTGCTTTATTATTGTGGTGATGGTAGCAATTAGTCTGTGGTGCAGCTGAGATAATAAGGAAGTAAGTGTAGCTTTTAAAACAGCCTTCAGCTTGTCAAGACTGCATTAAAAGGCTTTTACCCTTAAAGTTTGTGGGTTTTTTCTTCCACTCAACTTTACATTAAAATGCTTGGGTGACCCTTTTACACATTTATTTTGTTGCCTATATACGGCAGAGGATTAGGGCCACTGAAAATTAAAAAAAAGTTAAATGATTTTTTTATTTTATTTCAGTTTAATATGAGAGAATTCAGACTTTTTTCTCAGAATTCTGACTTTAACCTCCGAATTTTGGATCTTAATGTGGATGGGCAGCATGAAGGAAGAGATGTGGGAGCACTCAGCTTCACTGACAAAGATGTGTTGTTTGGGGGGGGGGGCAGTAACACTTTGGTGGAAAATAACGCAATTACTGGAAGAACAGAAGGTGATTAAAACATGGCTAGTTTAGTCTTTAAAACAGACATTGCTATGACTTGATTCAAACCTGTTTGTTAGCTGTCAGAATTCTGACTTTTACCTCATATTATACTGAAAAAAAAATCTAAAAATCAGTAAACTTTTTTTTTTTTTTAGTGGCCCTAATCCTCTTCCGTACATATAACAGTTATGTGTTTCAAATCATATTGTCAGATTTTATTTATTATTATGACAGTTAACAGAAACTAAAGCTTGTAATATAGCTCTCTATGTATAATAAGTCTATATAATAATTTAGGGCTGGAACTAACAATTATTTTGCATATCGATAAATCTTTTTTTAGATTAGTCAATGAATAACCATAGCCAAAGACTGCTTAAAGAAGACTTTTTACGAAATTAAATAACTCTAACTTTTCCTCTAGAGGAGCTCTGGATAGAGAATACTGAAGGATGAAAAAAAAGGTTTTATCTTAAATGCAAAATGTGTACATATTTTTTTATATTCTTGGTATAATTACTGTTCTACACTGGTTGCTCTGTCATCTACAGGCATGTTTTAGAGTCTCTATACTCCAGTTAATGATTAATCAATTACTAAATTATTCTGAAATTTTTTTAATGATCAATTAATCACAATTAATGCATTTAATTGTTTCAGCACTACAATAATTAGTAAACTTTTTAATCATATTCTATTTTTTTGAGGTTGTCTAAGACAATAGACTGAAGTAGTCTATTGTATTATGAATGCCTATTGTGTGTAAAATATGTGGACATATTTGCCTCAGCTGTTACATAATTACATTTCATTTTCTTAATACAAAAGTCTTAGCTGATTTTGTTGATATAGAATGGAACTGTTGTGAATCCACATCTGGGCAAAACCCATACTGTATAGGGCCCACATGCAAAGTTACATAATTCCTGACTAGGAATTATGTAACTTTACCAATTGAAAGAATAGGAGAACCTCTTGAAAGCTTCGTAGGGGTTGCCAGATTGGGCTACTACTACTTTTTCTATGGTGGTACAGCATAAGCCTCAACAAAATAACACAAGTTTTAGTCTGTTACCATGTCAGAAGATTTCAGTGCTATATTTAAGCAACATAATAGCGACTGTGTTCTTTTTTAAAAACACAAAAAACATCTGGTTGTTTTTGTTGGACTATTATTGTTGGATTATAAATCAATATTTCAAAATAAGCCTGTCTTTTCCTCTCTGAAATTCACAAATAAGAATATTATCCATCATTGATTTTTTTTGGCTCAGGAGGCATGGCAAAAAAACGGACAGGGTGATATGTTTTTGTGGGATTCTTTATGATTAGATACAGTGCTGTAAATAAGTATTTATCCTCTTGAAGATGTTTCTGCTGCTTTATTGTCACAAATATTTCGCATAATTAAACAAGTTTCAGTATCAAGTAAAGTGTTTCTAAGTACTTTGTAAAAACATTTTTTGATAAAATTTTCAATTTTTGAGAGGAAAATCCATGCAATCATTTTGATTATAAAATGCTATCCTAGTTTTATTTTAAATGTAATGAGATATACTGTATCCTTTTCAAAATATTCCAGTTTTTCTTGTCACAGATTTTATTTTATTTTTTTTTTCATTTTTGGGGTGATTTTGAGTTGGGGTCTTTATTTCTTGTTGCTCATTGTTGAACTTTCCTGTTGATGCCATTTTAAATATTATTTTACTTATTGTTGATTTATGATCAACAATGCTGGTGAAGATTCTCAGTCATCCAGGTCATAGTCATTCCAAAAAAGAAAGTTAAAAACAATTCCCTGGACTTTGTTTCCAAGTTTGAAGACGTTTCACTTCCCATCCAGGGAGCTTTTTCAATTCAAAATGTCAGGAATAGCGTTGAGTTCAAGTTCGAACTGGAGTTTGAAACTTCAAACTTGGAAACAAAGTCCAGTGGATTGTTTTTAACCTTCTTTTTTGGTATGATCAACCATCTTAAGTGAAGGGAGTGATGCTTGTTGTGTTTAAATGCTCTTTGTACTTTGGAGAACTCCTGGATGAGTCCGATGAGCTCTTGGAGTAATTTTTGATAACTTAGCGTCCTAAGGAAAAGCTCACCACTGCTCTATGATTTCTTTACATTGGACAATATTTTAATGTAGGGCTTTGAAGTCGTAATTAAAATCCATTTGTAGAAATCAGGTCTTGCTGTGGGCTGAGCTCTGCATTCAAAAAAGTTGTGTTGATGACAGTTAGTTCATGATTTAGGAATCATTGGACAGCGTCTTTCTTTTGCTTGACATCCATTTCTTATCTGGTTCTGAACCCATATTGTGTGAAAACAAATGCTAAATGGATAGATAAGGGGGGCAAATATTATTTTTGACAATACTGTAATTTGTCATCATATAAGCCAAATAAACGTACTTGTCATAATACTGGATAAACTGGATAACAATAGAAAGGAAAACTACTTTAAAATTGTTGTTTCGAAATTGTGGAAATCTTTTTAAAAAAAAACAAAGGTTATTTCTAATTACAAGCCAGAAAAGTAAAAAAGAAGAAGAAAAAATTAACTCAACAATAATTTTTTACTTTGCATTGCTCACAGATAGGGGCTCACAGATAGGTAGTACATGCAGTCATCACCTTGCTGGAGTTTTACTTTCAGCAGGAGCTGACTATTTGGATTGTTCAGGTGGGTCTCTGCAAGGAGGGGATGTTTATCATTTTTTTGGAACTGTTGGGCCCATATGGATTGTTGAAAATTTACTTATTTTTATGGATTTTAATGCAGATTAATATTTCTTTTTGTATAACTTATGTTAAGATTTGTTACCAAATTTTAATGTACTTTATCATTATTAAGCTTCATCTTTATGAGCTTATATGTTTTGCTATGATGTAATAATTTTGATGAATGAAATATGGTCCAAAATAATTTTTTCATAGTATTCTGTTCCAGTAATCTTCTAATGTCTGGTTTAAAAATTGATCGTCCACATAGGGGTGTTTATTTTTAACTTAGTTGTCTCTTTTTAAGTTCATGCTCTACTTGTGCTGCTGATAAACAAATGAAGGAGTGCATTCCTCCTGCCAAGGTTTTGAGTGCCCGTGAAGGTGTGCGTGTAATGATAGGTGTAAAGTGAAATGTTGCGTGACACTATTTTGAACGATTCCTTTTATTCTTGTTGCTCTACTGTTTTGGCAACCAATGTTTTAAACAAACCTTCAGACTTTAGAAATCGTTTAAACAAATGATGAGGCATTCGTTTATGGTTTTAATGAAATGGGTTGAATTAAGATCTTTAGATGTGAATTAACTTGAAGTATTTGATGCAAATGTATGTCAATTTGCAAAAAAGCAATGATTTTCTACATTACATCTCTTTGTTTCCAACACATAAGCTCATAGTGTCAGGTGACTTCACTTCCTTAGTGTGGTCGTTCTTTGCTACGCATCCCTCCCTGTGCTGCAGTAGAGTTTTAAACTAAACTTAACCCCTGTGTTTTATGTATAACCTTTTTACATCATTTTTAAAGGTGAGTAAATCACCATTTTAATGGATTTTCTTTTTGATCATAATCAAGCTGGTTTAGCTCAAAAACTGCACCACATATACTCTTCCAACCTGAAATGCATTGCTTTGTACTAACAGAAAACATTTCAACCCCTGTGTTTGACTGGTGAAGCCTTAATTCATGTTTTAAGACCAATAAACACCTATTGTAATTGATTTTATTGCATTTTGATCACATTTAAATGGGCACTGGTCAAAAACTCCAACACCTAGATTCTTCAAACCTGGACTGCATTGTTTTACAATAGAATAACTTGAAAACACTTGTGTTTGATAGGTAAACTCTTTATTGGACATTAAATACTTACTTTGATATATTGTTTTTTTTTTTCTTTCACATTTTGATGACAGTTTAACTGGT